CCATCTCCATGCCTCCACCCCTCCTACCAATCTGTTCAAATCTGGCTTCTTTAAACCCTTGGTTGTTGGACTTCCATACAGTTCAATTTTCTGATAGTTCTGGGTGTCACTTGTTTTGAGATTTAGTTATAATTCCTGTTTGTGGTTGCACAAAGAGGTGAAGTGTATATACCTACGCCTCCATCTTGACCAGAAGTCCAAGAATGGAATCTTAATGAAATGTCACTTTACCAGTTTCAAGTGAAAGAAGTGTCTGAATTATCTTGCTTACACTGAGTAACTATGGCATTTTATTTTTAATGGCAAATATCAAATTTCAGTCAATTTATTGAATATTGTTTCTTATTTGAAGCGTATTTATAATATTCTTATAAGTATTGCTTAAAGTCTTGAGGGTTTTTTTTTCAAAAAATAACATGAAAATTGATCCCCATGGAGAACATGCTTTGTTTCTGCCTGCCAGATATAACTGCGCCCCTCTCTGGTACCAGCATCCCAATTTTTCTTTGGTGTGGGGACCACCACTCTCCCAGATTTTGAACATATAGTCAGGTAGAGTTAATGGCACCGATTGGCTACAGCAGTGGTCACATGACCTAGGCCTGACCAATGAGAAGCTCACATTCCTCTGGCCCACTGACTAACTCAGAGAGAGGCACATGACTGACCCCATGTCCTGGCCAGGGACAGCCCAGCCCTAGGACTTTTAATCAAACCTCAGGGAAAGAGAAGCAATTTTCCCATGGAAATTATTAAGCTGTTAAGATATAAACTGGCATCTCCATCACCATATGGTAGAAAACTGCCTAAGAATGGAGCCAAAGACAGGAAGGCAGAGATGAGAGAGCCTCTTCCTGTCATTTGATTACCTGGACCCAGCTGCGACCAAGGCCAAACCCTTGGAGCTTTCCTGTTTCATGTGCCAATAAATTCCTTTTTTGTTTGTTGGTTTAAGCCATTTTAAGCTGGGCTTCTGCCATTTCCAACCAAAAATATCCCAACACAACCTATTTGTGCCAAATAGCTAAGATCATTCACTGAGATTAAAAAAAAAAAAAAAACATGGTTTACTTCTGCAGGCTTTTGAAAACAGCCAAATGTCATCACATTGAATCCACTTGTATTTCTTCTGCCTGTCACTGCACAGTGATTCAATTCTGAAGAGACAGAAGGTGAGAAAGAAGAAAGGCTCGCTCCCTGATAGGCAAGTGAGTCTCTCTTAAGGTAATTAAATTTCTATATTCACCCATGCATTCCTCCTTATCTCAGGTTTCAAAGGCTAATCTTCTACATGTTTAATCCTTGTCGCTTGTCCTACTATCTATTTCAATTATTCTCTCCCTTGCCACAGATAACTCCCTCCCCAGGCCACCCTCGGCTTTTCCAACGCTACCAGTTTCTACCCTTTATCCTGTAAGTACAACTCTATCTCCTCCACGCAAAAATTAAGTGAAAGAGTAAGAGACTTCAATACACAAAATCGCACATACACCAGACAGGCAGAAGTAGTAAGAAAAAAATGAAATAGTGTAAACTATTAATGATGGTTGTCTCTGGTGGTGGGATAATAGCTGATTTTTCTCTCTTTTGTAAAAAAAATTATTTTCGGTACTTTCCAAATCTTGGTATTTCTTTTATAAGAGAAATATTACGCTTCCTCTTTCAGCAACTAACATCTTCCCATCCCTGACTGCCAGACATTAAGTGAAAGGCCACGCCCACTTTGCTCCCTGGCTCCTCCCTCCCGCCCACTTTGACTCATACCACTGACCTGAAACTACAGCCCCATGGTGACCAGTGTGGCCACCACGCTGCATCCTACGACTTATCTTCTCCTTGTAGCCCATCCGACCTCTGGGGATCATCAACCACCCCTTCCCTTCACTCAAGTTGGAATCTGAAACAATATTCTCAGATTTTCTCCCCTTCCCTTCCCCATTCAGCTGTTGGACAAACCTTACCAATTCTATTTCCAAGCAAACCCTGACTCCATCTCCTCTTCTCCTGTCCCATGGTGACTGTCCTGTCGGATGTCTGACCCTTGTGCGGCCTCACGCCCATCACTCCTCTCTGCCTCCACCGCTCCCTCATCTTTATCACCCTAAAGTTCAAACACAATGACTCAATTCCCCTGCCTTAAAATGTCTCTTGAATGCATACAAGCTCAAGTATCATTACTGGTACGGAGGGCCCCTCGCAAGCCAGCGGCAGCCCATCAGCTGCATCCCTGTTCTCCATGGAAACACACGGCTGTCCTGGCCGTCCTGCACCCAGTGCCTCTCTGCGGACTCTTTCCTGGGCCTGGTTGCCCTTCTCCCCCTTTCCCTAGGAACTGTTGCTCCCCCTTAAAGACTCAGACTAGCATTAAATTCTTAGTATTTTAATAATTAGCACTTACCACAGTGTACTCTAGTCCCCAGGAGACACTGACCTACTTAAGGGAAGAAATGTCTTATTTGTTATTATACCTTGGCTTCTTGCCTATGAATAAATAGGAAAAGTCGGGTAAAACAGAAATTGTAGGCCTCCCTAAAGAACTGAGTTTTGCTTGTACATTAAGGGAGAAAGTACAGCATGTCTGACTTCTGCAAATAACCCCAATCCCCCGCAAAGACCCTGTGTGGTCTGCAGAACCTGGTGGTGGTCCCGTCCGAAGCTCTTCACTCTCAGCACCCGCTGAGTGATTTCGCCACTGCTTTTGGTTTGGGGTCAGTTACTTTAAATTTATAAAAAATGTTTAAATCTTCATAATAAGACGTTTAAATTGTCTTAATTTCTCAGGTCCTTGTTCATTCACAGCATCACCTAATAGTACAATCAGATTTCTATGTAAATCTGTATCTTCTGCTTTAAAAAATGAACATGTTTGAGTATAACTTTTACACACAGAAAAGTAATACTGTAATATTCTTGTACTTTTTCCAATTACATTTACTACATTGATTTTTTAAAGGGCCATTTACTCAATAAAATTATATTGTTTTAATTATAGGACATACAATGAGCTATACACAGACCCACAGAAAAATTAAATCTGGAGATTTTGGGATTTTAAAAAGTAGTTAAATGACATCTCACATCCTAGACTAGTTAATTTTGTAAGCCAGATGTCCACAAGGCATTGATAAATTTTACTAGAAAATTTCATAATCTAAAGGAAAGAGAAAGCCATGAAACCAACCGCTGCTTATAAATAACTGATGGAATTCATTCATTAAGCACTACATTCAAAGCACAACACGAATAACTACAGTGGAGATGGGCAAGGCATTTCACTTCCCTCAATTCCTCCAGTTTCCATAGGGACAAGACGAGAAGATAAATAACTCAAATAAAGGCCCAATGTGATGTATCAGAAGAGAGGTCCAAATTGCTATCAAAGTTCAGAAGAGAAAGACACTTTATATCCAGATGATTATATCAAATTCTTTTCCCAAAGAATAAGATGTAAGCCCTGGAAAACAGAATTTTTACAAAGAGCATTGGGGGAAATGTCATTTCAAGGCAGGGGGAAGAGCAAAACACTCGGAACCAAGACAGGGGCCGTGAGGTCCGTCTGGGCCCCCGAGAGCGACCTCGCAGAGGGGACCGTCACTCTGTCCTGGGCCTTGCTCCATCCCTGGCTGCGGCCTTTCCTTCTACCTCATGCGGCGTCGGTGAGCTATGAGCTAAAGCATAAAGGACCTTCCCACTCCCAAAGCATTCTGCGCTCAGTCTGGTGGGCAATGAAAAGTAATTGAAAGCTTTTACGCAGGGGTCCTGATAGGGCAGGAGAGTGTTTGAAGAAATCAGTCTGGCCACAACATGTAAACAGGGAAGGGAACGACGGGGACACTGCAGGGACAGGAAAGGGGCACAGATGCTGGACTCACTGTGGCCAAATGTTTTCATAATAAACTGAAGCGATCTATACTGCTTTTTTGTACCTAAGTCCCATATAAAATACACATTTAACTTCCAAAAAACTATACAACCCCATTCTTATCTTCTCCTAATTCTTCCTAATAATTTAAAAAAATGATCTATTTTGGGTATTTCACCACAGACAGCTTTCAAGTGCCACCGCCCTCCTTCCACCCAATGTCTGTGCAAGCTGCTGAGAAAGCCGGGCACACCCCCTTGGTGCTGGCGGAGACGAGCAAACCATGCCGGCCCCTGCCCTATCCCAGCAAAAACCAAGGCCAAGCATCCCCTCCTTCACACGAGCTGAATGGACCAGGCTGATGCCAACCCTGCCCTCCCAGAAAGGCCTCATGGTGTGAGTAATAAACCTTTTCACACCCTCTTGGTGTGTGTGCGGCACCATCAGTCCTGACATTGAACCAGCATGGGGTGAGCAGGGCAGGGGGTTGCTCCCACCTTCCATGAAGTAACCACACTCTTAAACAGTGAACTCGTGCAAAGTCCTCACTCCACTCTGGTGGGAGGTAGGGATGCAGGGGAGGAGTAGACGGAGGTACCAACAGGGTTCCCAGAAACCAGCAGCACTTTCATTCAGTGTCCTGTGGTCTCAAGATCAACTCTGTGTTGGCTGGCTGTGCCCGATGGTCATGCACATCCACTCATGTACCTAATTATCAACTTTAAATCGATTCCCTATGCGCTCGGTCAGTGCTCGGCTCAAGCCGCTGCCCAGGGCTGACTCGGAGACACTGCACAATCACAGGCCCATGCGCTTAAGCCTCCCATCGCCACTTGCTTTTAACCTCGGCAGAAATCTCTACCACAGTTGGAAGGGAAACACGCACATTTCCCATTCTTCGAGTTCCACGTTAAAGGCCTTGGGCAACTAAAAAGCTAAAATGAAAAGTCACCAATAATCACATTCTTCAATTAGTACTTCAGTCACAAACCGAATGATAATAATCTTCACGTGTACATAGCACAGAACGTATTCCAGGGTCTTTTTGGCCACAGCTACACAAATCAAAAGGTCATAAACATGAAAAACAGCGTCTTTCTCAGGAAGAGTTTAGCAAATTGTAACAGTAAGTACTTACGCGTCTTTAGCTGCTCCTGCAGAGCCTAGGACAGAAAAAAGATGGGCTTGTATTAGTGTGAGAATATTGCTACAAAAATTATCAGCCCGACGCCCAATGAAAATAATAATCTGCAAGAGGCAACTTGAGAAAATGGTGTTTTAAAAGATTATTTCAGAAAAAGGAGTGCAAGACAATCATAAAATTCAAATTGTAAATTTATAATTTGTTCTGCCCATTTTTAATGATTCCTACATATCACAAGTTGTTGGGTCTGAAGGGGTTTTACAGATCACCGAGTCCAATCTTCCCACCTGACAGATGAAGATGGAGAAATAGCTTCTTTTCTAAGCCACACCCCTTCTAAGCTGGGCGGCATCACTATAAATCTCACTCTGCGAAGTAAAGCAAGGCCACCAGATGAAAGGGAGGTGCTGTCCTAAGTGGAGTAGGAAGTGTCAAGGACAACGGCCCAGCTCCGCCAGGAGTCACCTACACGTAGAAGGGTGCTCCTATTTCCTGCGGAAGCCTCTCATCTCTGCTTCCCAGCCAGTCACGTGGACCCCACTCTCAATGCTCATCACAGGTTCTCCACCCACGGCACAGCCCGAGCCCCACACTTCCCCCAACGTCCTAATCTGGCGACACAGAACCAAGTTCTATGGCCTCAAGTGCCCGATAACCCTCGTAAAACCTCACTTCCCTCATGTGTCAAATGAGGGTAGTAAGAGTGCCTCTCTCAAAGGTTGTGAAGATTTAAAAAAATAAACACACATATAAACACAGCACCAAGTCTGGCCATAAAAATAGCTCAGTTATTATTAACAGTCACATCTAACTTGATATCTCAATTTCCATATCTACGAAATGGAAAAGAAAACACTTCTGCACAAGTTACAGAAACATGGAAATAAAGGAAGAATTGCTGCAAAGTGAGCGAGCAAACCTGCAGGAAGAGTTCCTGGCAAGCTGGCCAGAGCCAGGGCCCAGCGACGCTGATCCGGCAGCTGTCACACTGCGCATCCAAAGCAGAGTGCTGACATGACCAAGACTATGTCTCAAAGAAAGACGTTTAGGGCTTTGACCTAACCTCAGTTTTGTAACAAACTTAGTTCCTTTCTTCAGAGAAGAGTCATATTTCTGTGTCACGACTATCATCTCAATTATTATACAAATAAAAACTGCTTTGGAGTGTGAAATCATAAAAACAAAAAATCCTAAACTTTAAAAAAAATTCACTTAAGAAAGACTGCCAACAGTGGAGTGTTTTGAGAGAAAATAAAATAAAGGATCAGCGCCACCAAAAACCCGTGAAAATGAACGTTTTATTTCAAAGTCAAAACAAGTATGAGAAGCTGGAAGACAGTCTGGAATGAAAACAATACCCTCATTTTCTCATTTTTATTTTCGTGGAAAAGGACAGAGAATGTTTGAGGTTGGGAAGGGAGAACAAGACGTATCCGAAACTTCGATTCTGTGAAGTCTCACAGGGAAAAGAATGCAGACACCCTCATGTGGACCATGGGCCCAATCAGCAGTGGAGGGCCACCCAGTACAGCCCCCAGGACGGCAGAGGGGACAGAACCACCGCACGCCGTCTCGGGGACGGCTGCAGGACAAGAGCGCCATGGAACTGGAAGGCAGCAGGCCTCCCTCTAGGCCTGGCTCCAGGATTTGTCTAACAGCCCATCAGTCTCAGTTCCTAACACGGGGCCGAGAAAGACGCGGAGAAGACAGACAGTAACGTATGTGATTTCCTTGCAGATGGCACCACACTGTCTAACCAGTACTCATTCCTCCTCAGGAACCTGCCACCCAGCTCACCTAGACTGAACCTGGCTCAGGGCACCCGTGGGCCTCTTCCCGGTTGGGTTCACCATCGAACGCCCCAGTGGGTGTTACCTTCCAAAAGGAAGTCACACATCATTTCTTTGTTCTCAAATGTCCCTTATTTATGTCACCACCTATTTAATACTGGCAAGGAGAGCAAAGAAGTCCGAAACACTACATCAAGTGCATATGTATGATTGTAATATGTGCTCTGCTTTTTTAAAGGGACGAATGTGCATCTCTGAAGCACGGTAATGTGGTGTTGATGACAGGTTCACAAGGGCAGGTAGAACATGGCTCCCTAACACACAACTTCTCAGAATTAATTTTTTAAATGATTTTATTTATTTATTTTTAGAGAGAGGAGAAGGGAGGGAAAAAGAGAGGGAAAGAAACTTCAATGCACACTAGGGTTGCATCTAGTGTGTTCCCTACTGGGGACCTGGCCTTCAACCCAGGCATGTGCTCTGATAGCGAATCAAACCAGCGACCCTTTGGTTCACAGGCCAGCACTCGATCCACTGAGCCACACCAGCCAGGGCAGGAATAAAGTGTTAAAAAAATTGCATTTGTAGGAAACCCTCGGAGATACTCTCAAAATATCTAGGAATATAAATGTGAAATATCTTTGTTCAGCAAAAGTATAAAATCATAAAAGTATTATAAATAGCCCTGGCTGGTGTAGCTCAGTTGATTGAGCGTGGGCCTGCGAACCAAATAACCACAGTTGGATTCCCAGTCAGGGCACATGCCTGGATTGCAGGCCAGTTCCCAGCAGGGGACGCACAAGAGGCAACCATACATTGATATTTCTCTCTCTCTCTCTCTCCTTCCCTTCCCCTCTAAAGATAAATAAAATCTTTTTTTTTAAGTATTATAAATAGCAGAAAACATATTATTACCCTCACTGTAACATTTTAATCACACTTCACCTAAATATTGAACATAATTAACCAGATGGAGGTCTCTAATTTATGCAAAAAATACTTTGATTAGAACTATTCAGATAGCAGCTAAATCCCATCGGCATTAAATTGGGTTGATGGTTCACATGATTTGTCTTTCATTAAGCAAATATTTGTAGCGGTGAGATTCCTTCTTTCCAGGCCCCGGGGACACAGCCACCATCCCTGTTCCCACCACCTCATTTCCTGCCAAAAGGACTCTTCCCTTTTCAAACAAGCCTTGATGTATTCACCTTAGAAGAAATAGAGATGCCAAAAGATAACAATGATTCTTGTGGAGTAAGAGCACTACAAACTATACGGACTCGTTAGAATTTTTGTGGGTCAAAAGAGTTCATGACTATTTTCCCACTGTATCCATGGTCATCATAATTTTAAATATCTTCCTAAAAAATAGAAGAGGGAGAGGTTTGCTTTCATCAAAGTATCACATGCAGTTACAGTGACAAAAAGTAACTGCAAATGGCTAGGGTCTAAGAGGAAGAACATTTCCTTCTGGAAGGAAGGAAACGCTGGTTCTTAACAAGCAGTAAACATTCTTGTTGCTCACAAAATCACTTCATTTCACGGTGATTATGTACACTTTTCACTTTACCCACTTCAAAAGATTTTAATATTTTATTCATGAGTCTCAAAGTCTCGGTTACTTGAACATGCACAGCAAACGCAATGTATGCGAACAGTCAAAGAATTTAATCTGATATTGTGAAATCAGACAAAGATATTTGGTTTTTATCCCCCATGCCTGGCTCAGAGCTTCTAAAACTCTTGGAATTTCCTGACTGATAAGGGTGACCGGAGCCTTTTCCCCTCTAAGGAGGTGACGCTGGGCAAGACCACACAGAGCCTTAGGATGGGGGCTGGTCAGCAGAAGAACCAACACTTGATGAGAAGTTTGGCTTGGTCAGCCCCACGCCCAGCCCCGGAGAGAGGGGCTGAAGCTTGAATTAATCACCAACGGGCATTGATTTCATCAGCTGTTCCTACCTAATAAAACTTCCACAGAAACCACCGAACGATGGGGTGGGATGGCTTCTGGGTTGGCGAACACACCATGTGCCAGTAGGGTGGTGCATCCCGACTCCACGGCACAGAGACCCCTGCACTCAGGACACTCCCAGGCCTCCCCCTCCGTCCCTCTTCATCAGGGTGCTCCTACAGTTTATACCCCCTACAGTGAACCGGTGAGTTTAAACTGGAAAGTACAATACCTAAATTCAGTGAGCCTTTCTAACAAATTATGAAATCTGAGAGAGGGAATGTGGAAACATCCCCCCCAAAACTGCACGTAACCCTGGGGCCCAACACTGGTGACTCGTGTCTGAAGTACGGGCATCCTGTGGCGCTGAGCCCTTAACCCTGCGGCAACGGGCGGTGCAATGGGCGGTGCATGGGTTCGGCATTCGATGTGAGCTGAGTCATCAAACGCCCGCCAGCTGGTGTCAGAAGGGGAGAACACTATCATATGTTCTTCGTGCCTTGTAACAATTTGCTACCCTAATAAATAGGGCTCTGAACAACCTCAAGGTACCTTATGAATCACACCAAGATGGAATTGTGCTGGATTTAGGTCAACAAATAATTACTTACATGCCAGGCATAGACTTTTTAAATGACATTTTCTTATTTTCTAACTTTGTCCCATCCCCAAACAACCGCAGGAAAACCTGCTGTAATTGATTCCTGCGGTTACTATAATAAATCATCACAAAGTGGGGGGTGGTTAGTTATGCTCCTGGAGTTTTGGGGGCCGGAAGCACAAGATCAAGGTGTCAGTGGGTGCACAAGCCCCACTGAGGCTCCGGGGAAGAGTCCACACCTGCCTCTCAGCAACTGGTGGCAGGGAGCAATTCCTCAGCTCAGGTCCCGTCACTCTGCTCGTCCGCACCCACCTTCTCCTCTTGGTATCTCCGTTTCCTCTAGAGTTTTTTTATAAGAACATTTATCATTGGGTTTCAGGCCTGTCCACATCATCTAAGATGACCTCCTCACTTCATTAAATCTCAGAGGCCCTTCTGCTGCCTAAGGTAACATTCACACATTCCAGAATTAGGGCATGGACTTAACTTTTTAGGGGTTATCATTCAACCTGCTATACCTTCTTACCCCCGTCCACCTACCCCTCCAAAAACAGAAATTCCCTTTGGAAAAGAAATATGTAGCAAAGCTACATATGGGGGGTGAGGGTGGAGAATAAAATTTTACATAGCGTATCATACATTTCACAAAAACAGACCAAACTTTATTCCTA